AGCAGTGAGGGTGAAGGCGATATTCTGAGAGGCTATGGCATACATGGGGAAGGTGTATCTCCTTACCAGTCAGGCAGCTGCATTGGTGGCATTCAACCTTTGCCACTTACCAGCCCTAACCCCACTACACCATAGTTCCCCTATTGGTAATCAAGTCACAGTATCTTCTCACATGTTACAGAGGATTAAGTGGGCACGAGGAAATCGCTGTAAGCATTAGCCATTTTGCCATTACTTTGTCTCTTTTTAAAAAAAATGATTTATTTTTATTGGAAAGTTAGAAGGAGAGACAAAGAGAAAGATCTTCCATCCACTGGTTCACTCCCCATATAACTTCAATTGCCAGAGCTGAACCAATCTGAAGTCAGGATCCAAGAGATTCTTCTGGGTTTCTCATGTGGATGCAGGGTCTTGAGGTGTTGGACCATCCTCTACTGCTTTCCCAGATCACAGACAGTGAGCTGAATAGGACCTGGAGCAGCTGGGATATGATCCAGTGCCCATATGGGATCCTGGTAGTTGCAAGATGAGGATTTAGCCACTAGGCTATTGTGCTGGGCCCTTATCATTACTTTCATACCTAAGTTGACTATTACTGTTTCTACTGATATTTTTGTAATTATAAAGGTTCCCATTAGTTGGTATTTATTAATCTTTATAATATTATTATTGAAAAAATTTACAAAACTGTAATTAAGATACCATCTCATTGCTCATAACTTTTGAAAATATTCAGCTGTTAATAGCATTTACCCATGAGTATTACACTTTTAATAGTTTATGACATTTTCCTATCCCTCATCTTCCATTTTTTTCTACAATTATAGTGTCTTGATATTGGGAGTGAAAAAATAGTATAAATAAATAAATATTTCCAGTCCTACCCACAGTAAGTGACTTAGTATATTAATGGAAACATCCCTAAGGCAAAGGAATTAGGTACTGGGGTGACTCAGCCCTAACTTAAAATTCTACTCACATGGAATCTCCAGTTTGTCAGCTTCTGGGGAATTGTACAGATGCCTAGGAGAGGAGCAAACACATCTCCTGAGTAAACCTGACATTCTGCAATCAAAACATATCTCCATCTCCCCGATAGTGGAAGGCTACAAAATGAGTGCAGTCTCACAGTATATTTCTCTCTATTCCCATCCACGTAAAGCCTGAGGTGACAGTAGGCTCTCTGCTTACCTACCTGCTCAGGGAAACAGCGAAGCCAAAGGGTAGGGAATAGCTGAGAGACTACATGAAATGGCCAGTGCTCAGTATGTCAGTTTCCAGAAAGAGAGAATCCTGATGTCGCAGCATGCAGAGTTTTCGAAACAGAGTCTCATTAAACAGAGGGCTCTAGGAATAATTAAATATGTTCAAAATGCAGGCTTTTGGCATAGTGCTTCAGACACAACTTGGAACATCCACATTCAGCATCGGAGTGCCTGCATTTGGTGGCTCTTCTTCCTGATTCCAGCTTTCTGTTGATGCACACCCTGAAAGTGGCAAACAATGGTTCAGTTACTTAGCCGGATTCCTGTCCCTTATGAGAGACACAAATTGAGTTGCTGGCTCCTACCTTTCAATGGATCCAATCCTGGCTGTTGAAGGGCATTTTGGGAGTGGGTATACTGGAGACTGGGCATTTCTCTCTCTGTCTCCCTCCTCCCCCACTTCCCTCTTTCTCTTTCTTCTTCACTTTAAAATAAATCATTGATTTTTGTAAAACATCATTGAAAGACCTTTGTGCAACTAGAAAATATTGAAAAGGGAAGGGAAGTATACAAACGCTTAGCATTTGCAATTCAATATCACATCGAGTTCTAAACAGGATGCATCCTTAATCCAACAAAGAGCTTTAGGAAATAGTTTGGATACATTAAAAAAAATTCCCAGAATACTGTTACTTTTCACTAGGATGTCCTAGATTAGTTTCTAGATGCACAGCTTAGTGCTAGAAGAGTTACTGTGTGAATGGAAGGAACTTACTTCCTGACATGTGAAAAAAATGTTTCACATTTAAGATAAACTGAGATATTATTTTGACTTAGTTTATCATGAGGGAAGTTACAAGATTAGAAACAAAGAAAGGTTCTCATAAAGTAACAGACAAAACACCTGCTTATTCAGTTACTCCTCCCTACAGCCTAGAATTTGGAAATGACTGGGTCCCTTTCAGAAGCACCAAAAAAGAATTTATAAAGCAGACATGTGTGGTGCTAAACTGTGTCTGTATCTCTTACTTCCTCCACATATACAAGAATATCGTATTTCACTTTAACATGTACAGCTTAAAGGGAATGCACACCTTAAAGGGAATGACTGTACCAAAATATAGCGGTTTCAAGAATTAAATATCTAAATGCTAGGCACTATTTACTGCTTAGTAAAAAGAGGTTAATACAAAAAGAGAAGCTTCAAAGTGAGTATCAAATGCGTATGTAATGGCTTACTTCCTACTATGGGTATATGGAACTTTGTTATTTTATGCATTTTAGAAGTTTTATCTGGATTGGTGTGATGGCTCAACTGGCTGATCCTCTGCCTGTAAGCACCAGCATTCCATCTGGGCTTTGGTTTATGTTCCAGCTGCTCCACTTTCCAGCCAGTTCCCTGCTTGTGGCCTGGGAAAGCAGTAGAGGATGGTCCAAAGCCTTGGGACCCTGCATCTCTATGGGATATCCAAAAGAAGCTCCTGGCTTCTGGCTTCAGATCAGCTCAGCTCTGGTATTTGAGGCTATTTGGGGAGTGAACTAGTGGATAAATGATCTTTCTCTCTGTTTCCCCTTCTCTTTGTAAATCTGCCTTTGCAGTAAAAAATAAATATATCTTTAAAAATTATGCATAACTGTTTTTTACTGTAGTTTCACAGTAAATCAATTTTTGAAATTAAAAAATAAGCTTTTTAAAAATGGATATAAATATTCATAAAAATAAAGGTGGTTTTCAGAATGAGTCACATGACAAAGTCCATTGTAGGCTCTAAATAAAAAACATACATATATCTACACAGTGAGATTTCAAAATTTTGGAAGTAAGTATATACCTGGGAAATACAAAGCCAAAGAAATCAGAGACAGATATATTAATATCATAAAATGGGGAAGGACATACATATCATTATATAAGGAGTAAAAATCAGTGAAAACAATATCTATAAATATATATATAGCTAATCGACATGACATTCATATTTTCATATACATTTATTTATTAAATTTCCACATATGAGAGAACATATGAGAGAATACATGTAGTATTTGTCATTTTGTATCTGGTTTATTTCACTTGGCATATTGATCTCCAATTCTGTCCTCTTTGTTGCAAATAAGAGGATTTCATTTTTTATAACTGATAAATAATCCATTATGTATTTTATTGTGTTTTCTTGTGGTAATTATTTCTGGACATCTAGGTTGATTCTGAATATTTTCCATCGTAAATAGTGCCACAACAAGCATGATAGTTCAGGCATACCTTTAATATTCTGACTTAATCTACTTAAAATATATTTCCAGAAGTGGAATAGTTTGGTCATAAGGTGGACTTATTTTTAGTGTTTTCAGTAACTTCCATACTGTTTCCCATAATGTCTGTACTAATTTGTATCCACACCAACAGTGTATAAGAGTTCCCTTTTCTCCATATCTTCTTCATTAGCATTTGTTTTATTCTTTTTGATAGTAGTCATTCTAAATTGAGTGAGACGCTAACTCCTTGTGATTTTTACTTATATTGCTCTGTGGTTAGTGATTGTGAATCATTTTAACTTGCTTGTCAGCCATTTGTATTTCTTCTTTTGAAAATGTTTATTCAGCGTCTTTGTCCATTTCTTAACTGGGTTGTTTGTTTTGCTCTCCTTGAAAGTTTTGAGTTCCTCAGATTGTTACTGAAAGCTTAGTCCCTGTCCCCAGTGCCAATCAAAATAATGAGGACAAGGTTTTCAGGAAAGGAAAGAACATTTAATCGGTAGACAGATAAGAGCATAAAAGACTTTCTATTCTCAAGAACTCTGCTGGATGAGGGTGTTTGGAAGTTTATAAAAGGGGCTACAGAAAGTAGGTGTTGTTATGGTGAAAACACAAAATAACTACTAATCTCTAATGTCCAGTGCCACAGCTTGTCATCACATGAACGACCATATGCATTCCTTCTCTATTTCATCATAATGGTCCTTGAAGTCTGCGTGTGGTGAGATTAGATGTCACCTAATCAGGTTCCTGTACTGTAGAAAAACAAAGTAATTTATATCTTAAGGTATGGGTAAGGACCACCGAAAATATCGTAGTTTTCTCATGAATTTAGCTGAGTTTCTTCTCAAAATTATTTGGCAGGACAAACAGAAACACTTATCAAGTAAACCTCGTAAGAGAAGTAATGGGATGGAGTGGCAGTCATTTCTAGCAGTTACTAAAATGTGACAACATATATGGATCTAAGAGTGTAGTACTGGTTCATTAATAGAAAGAATCATGAAAAACCATAGAAAATATTACATAAAGTTATATTTGGAAACGTAGAGTATAATTAAAGCAGTGAAATTTCACTGCATAAAAATTACAGTAAACAACTGAATAATGTAAAAGCATGCCATCTAAATTTGAAAAATCACTGAAAAGTACGTTGAACTACTCTAACAAAATGCTGATACTCTTTTTTTAAAAAACAAAACTTTTAATTTATATGCATATGAGGGGAATAAGGGGCAGCACCAGCCTGACTGGGAAAGGAGCAAGGAAGTGTCCCTTTTTCCCAGTGTCTACTTGGCACAGTTCTGAGATAACACACACAAGTGGGGATGGGCTGGGAAGCAGAGTAAGAGAGGACAGAGGCAAGGAGTAAGAGGCACGGGCTTGTAGGAGTGTCAGTCGGCATCCCCCAACACAGATTCATTCAGTGTGAAGTCCCAGCAATGTGCAGCACATGCTTTTTGATTTGCTCAGAAGCCATAGTTTCTGTAGGGCACTGTTTGAACTTCATCTCTCCAAACTTCTGGTCTTTGGCAGTACCCTCCCAGACTAGCACACAAGTTGTTGGTTTTCTTCACAGCTTCTTCATCAAATTCCTTATCATTATCTTCCTTTATGTTAGATGTCTGCTCATCCCACTTTATCCACTTCAGCATAAGACACTTAAATTTCTTCTGGGCCTTGGAGCCCTCTTCCACTACTACCACATTGACATCATTGTGCAGTGTCACCATCCCTGTCAGGTACAGTTGCCCAGCATTGGTCTCAGTCTTGAATTTCTTGGCTGGGTTGCTCAAATTAATTTCAAACCCCCACATACAGATATGTATATCCCCTGTGAAGTATCTTCTTTAAGAGTGCATCTGCTAAAACTACCATCTGTGAACTTATGGCATGCCTTGTTCACTGTCATGGTACAGTGCTTTTGATCAAGGAACTCACCTCACAGCAAATAAAATGTGGAATGTCAATGTGCTGGCTGGCTTGGTAAACCAACACCCGGAGGCTGGCATTGTGACACAGTAAGTCACAATTTTAAGTCACAGAATAAGTCTCCGTTTTTAATGCCAACATCTCATATCTGAGTGCAACAAATTTAAGTACGTGTTGCTCTGCTTCTGATTTAGCTCCCTGGTAACGCAACTGAGAAGGCAGCTGGAGGTATTCCAAGTGCTTGGCCCCTGCCCCCAAGTGAGAGAGTTAGATAAAGTTTCAGAATACTGGCTTTGAGTTGGCTGAGCATTGGATGTTGCATGTATTTGAGCAGTGAATCAAAAGATGGAAGATCTATTTCTCTCTCTCTTTTTCTCTCTCTCTGTCTCTCTGTTACTCTTTCAATTAAAAATTTAAAAAATTGTCTGTAATTCTGCTTTAAAAAATAAATGCTCAGTATAATTTTACACAAATTTAGAAGCTCCATGCTTCCATATGGTAAGAAACAATAATCCCATGGCAATTAGAAACCCTGGAATCCAGATTGATTTCGATAAAATCATTACCCACTAAAAGGAAATGAATATCCCCATGGAAAAATGGATAATTCCAGGTTTAGGGGAGGTTTTATTACAGATTATTCAGGAACGTATGAGACTCTAAAACATGTCAGAAGAATTCAGAAATCAAGTGGAAGTAGCTTCCAATAGGTAAACATGGGACAACAAGCATAAAATAAGACTACAATGGGTTAAAAGACATGGCACATACATCTATGAAGTGCAGATGAGTTTCTAAAGGAGAAACAAAACAAACTGGTCAATTTGGAATGTCCTTGGAAAACAAATCACTATTATGTAAAGTTAAAATACTGCAAAATAAGTAAACATTCACTTTATTTTTCCATAAATCATCCTGTTCTCAACATAACCTAATGAATGATGAAAGTTTTTTTCATAAAAGATTCTAGCTATTTAATAAGGAAGGAACTATTGGATCATAACATCAAATCTTTTGAAAACCTTAATGAAGTGCAGTTCTAGTAATGATCTGTGAAGAATGTAAGAAGCATGAGGGTGAGGGACATAGGAAATTTTAGTGAGTGATGAAGGTGCCAACACCTGAACTCAACATTGAGTCTCAGCAGAAACAGTAAGTCACGTTGTAACACCTGTAGCAAAGGAAGTACAGGTCTCTGACACTGGGTGAGCTTATCTGCAGGAGTGCTGGGACACCTCCCCACTCCCTCAATAACTAAAGCCAACCAGACTCCTGACAACAGGACATGCTTTGTCCTCACCACCTGGGCAGAGTTCCTCCAGTGGCCTGCCTCCCAGCCTGCTTTCTCTAATTACTTCCTCAGGTGGCCTAAGAGTGAAGCTGTTTGCTTTCACATAAAGGCCCTGCAGTCATTTCCGCTGTGCAGGACCAGACTGTGCCTCACGGTTGCCATGGAAACCTGACGTTGTGAGAAGCTTGTTGACCAGGATGGCGTTTCCTGCCTTTTCTGATGTGGTTTTAAAACATTTCAAATAATACAGGAAGGTATAAAGGGTTCAATAAGGTCACAGCAATGCGAAATTTTTAAATTTTTAACATTTTGACAAGTTCAATTCATAAGTCAAATAATGTATAAACACATACATACTACTATATTTCTTGGAAACAGGAATATTAATGTCACATCATGTGGAATGTGTGACAAGGTCATAAAATGAGGAAACAAGTTTAATTCATAATATATACCTATGAACCAAATAATGTGGCATCAGGAGTCCAGTTGGCTTTAGTTATTGAGGGAGTGGGAAGGTGTCCCAGCACTCCTGCAGATAAGCTCACCCAGTGTCAGAGACCTGTACTTCCTTTGCTACAGGTGTTACAACGTGACTTACTGTTTCTGCTGAGACTCAATGTTGAGTTCAGGTGTTGGCACCTTCATCGGCCAGATAGGAAATGAACCCATTTAAACTCAGATTTACATATTAATGTTGTAATAAAATATAGGTAGTTCTCATGGCAAAGTAAATGTGATGTGACTCCTTGGTGAGAGTGTATTCTCTGCTGTGTTAGGGACAGAATCAGTGGGATAAACCGTGAGAAATGAAAGAAGACTGTTAATAAGGGATGTATAAAACTCTTCTTTGTAGTTTTGCCTTTTAAAAGATCTAATTGTTCTTTGAAATGCAGAGTTATGGAGAAGGAGAGACAGAGGGGGTATTTTTCATCTACTGTTTCACTCCCCATAACAGTTGAAACCGGGAGCCGGTGGGGGGGAAGGCGGTTCATCTGGGTTTCCTCTGTGTCTGTGCAGCTTCTAAACATTTGAGCTGTCCTTTGTTGCTTGCCCAGACATATTAACAAGGAAGTGGATTGGAAGAGGGATCAGCCAGGATTTGAACTGCTGCCCTTCTGAGATGTTGGCAAAAAACAGGCAGAGGCTTAATCTGATATGCCACAACACTAGTCCCTCTAATGTTTTCCTTTATGAGACAAGACAGGGACACAGAAAGAGCATGCTATACAGAGAGAAGTCCAAGGAATATGTGTATACATATTTAAATCTTCAATCTCTTGAAATTGGACAATATTCAAAGTTGGTATTAAGACTTCATATCTTGAATTTGACGCTTGTACTTAGCCAGATGCTAATAACACTCATTATCCGTTTATTTCCACATTAGAGCAAATGAGACACCTCCCACTACTAATCATTTATCAGTACTGATAGCTACTGACAAACATAAAGATGATTAATTCAGTGTCAGTGAATGCTGGTAATGTTTGGATTTTGGCCTTTCCACTGGCATCAGGTTGCTGAAATGGTGTGATGTGGCCACAGTGCATGAACCAAGGACCCAGCACTGAAAATTGCATTGAACAATGTAGGTGTTGTCCCTGAGGACACTGCCCTGGCTTCTCTGGAAATCATAGAGCTCACCAGGTGAGTTCACACTTACAAGGAGAGATATAGGTATATAAACACACACACACACACACACACACACGTACACACACACATCTGTGATCCCAGCCCTGGGCCCTGGATTTGGGTTTGTTACAGGTGAGAGGGTAAACAGACATTGTGAGATTAGGAAATATCCAACAATGTGGATACCTTCCCGTCTTTTAAACTTTGCACCCAGGGCCCATCACTGAGGTGTTTGCCTCCCTCACCCAACACGTGTGCTCCCATCAGGGAAATGGAGAGAAAGGACTCCCTCAGTGCCTGCCTTTGTCCTGGGCTCAGACAGCCCCTCCTGCTGTGCCTCACATGTGAAAGAACAGGAGAAGCCCCACTCCATGCCCTGTGCTCTGCCCAGGTTCCTCCCTTAGGCCTGGAACAGCTCTGTCAGACTGTGAGTTCAGTTCCACTTCACAGATGACCTGGCTCAGGCTCACAGCACCTTGGTCTCCCATGCAGGCAGGTGGATGCAGGAGTGGAATGAGGTTCATCCTCCACCCTCCCCAGAGGCCCCTGAGCAGCCTCCCTTTGAGAAGAAGAGGCTTGAGATGTGCTCAGAGGACTCACCCTGCTAGCGTGGCCCCACCCTTCCCCGCACAGCCCTCTGGGTGATGGATGATGGAGGAGGGGCATCCCTACCAGCTGGGTTCCTAATGATCTATACTTCCTGGGGCTCCTCCATCACCCCGGGACATTCGGTTATTACAATATGATCTGTGAGTATAAAATAATCTGTAAATATGTTACCACACACATTGATAGGAAGGAAGGAAGGAGGAGGGAGGGACAGTGAGAGGAACGGGCATGGGGAGAATGGAAGAGTCGTTGCATTCCTCGCATTAAGTCTTTGAAATTCATGAAATCTGTTCTCTGTGTATCAATAAAGTAAAACGCTATGGTCAGAAAGTATGATCTTTGAGGTTTTTTTACACACAAAATACCAAAAAAAAAAAAAAAAGAAAAAGAAAAATTCCAACTTAAAACCTAACACTAAGGTCGATGAAAATTTTGGAGAAAACATTAGAAAACTACACCTCAGATAGTTGGCTAAATTCTGTGATTTATGAAATATAATAAAATAAAGAAATTAAAAGATGATTTCAAATGAGAACTAGCATAAATATACTCAAAGAATAACCATGTTAAATATGTTAAAGTTATAAAAAGTAATGAAATTCAAGTGTATAAAAGCTTGAGAATTTACGCTAGATAGAAAAGACATTTTTCCATTTACATATGTTTTACAAAACTTTTAAACAGAGTAGGTAAATTGTTAAGGAAGATTAGTATGGCAATCACATTTTTGAAAAAGGTTGTGAGTGAGTGTGTGCGTGTGTGTGTGTTTGCTTGTATGCCATCACCTACTGGGACCCATCCAGGGATGGAGTCAGGGCAGGGAGAGATACAGATTAATTTCCAATCCACAAATATGCAGTTGTGTCTTGTTTGAATGTTTATATTTGTGAAAAAGTATGTAGCTAAAGTAATTAAAAGAGAAAATACTTGGGAATTGATTGAAAGAGTAAGCTACTTGGACTGGTGGCTTTGTAGGTTAATCTTCCACCTGTGGCAGCAGCAGCTCATATGGGTGCCAGTTCTAGTCCCCACTGCTCTGCTTCGGATCAACTCCAGGATTGTGGCCTGGGAAAGCAGCAGAGGAAAGCCCAAACCCTGGGGCCCCTGCACCCAGGTGGGAGGCCAAAGGATGCTCTAGCCTGCTGGATTTGGATCTGCTCAGCTTGGGCTATTACAGGCATTTGGGAAATAAACTGGCAGATAGAAGATTTGTTTCTGTGTGTCTTTCTTCCTACTCTCCACTTGGTGTGAGTGGGGGCTGGAGC